ATTAGTATTATGGGGCCCTATGGAGGGCTGATAAAGATAAATATGGCCAGGGCATACAAAGGTCTAAATGCAGCACTGCATGAATTTACCAGGAATTGAACGTGACTTGAAGAAGACTGCCTGTATGAGATGTGAAAATAAAAGGAAGTATTGGCAAGCCCCTTTTGAAAATGTTGCCAAGAAAACTGCAGGGACTTCTCCCATACTCACCAAAGGTCACTCTTGGCTCAATGGATCATGACAACGTCAGTTTTCGCACAGATGAGATCAGTCTCATAAAAAGATAAAATAAAATTTCTAACCTAAAGTAAAGTGCCTGCAATCAGGGGGATGATTATATAAGCTTTATATCCTGTCTGTTTTTCTCTTTCCTATTCAAATGAAAAAAATATAGTTATATAATTCACATTTCTTCAAAACAAAATGACCTCTGACCAAACAGTCTTGAAAGAGCAACTTTGATGTCCTTGTTCCTCATGCTGTAGATTAATGGATTCATCATGGGTGGAATAATGGAATACATTATTGTAATTATGAAATCAAGGTGGGATGGGCTGTCAGACATGTCTCTTAGATAAGCAAAGGAACCAGTAAACAAAAGTATGGAGAAGACCGTGAGGTGTGGTAGGCAAGTGGAGAAGGCTTTTCTCCTGCCCTGAACAGAAGGGATTCTCAGAACAGCAGAGAGGATCTGCACATATGTAGCAATGATGAAGACAAAACAACCAAATGCTAATGTAGTACTAAATATTATACCTCCAATTTCAATTACATATGAATTTGAACAGGCAAGCTTAAGTAACTGTGGGGTTTCACAATAAAACTGATTGATCACATTAGAGCAGAAATGAGTAGTAAAAGTTCCAACAGTGTTTAATACAGCATTGAGAAAGCTGGCACTCCACACGCTGCCAATCATTTTGGTGCAAGCCTTCCTGTTCATTACCATTTCATATCGTAAAGGACTGCAAATGGCAACATACCGATCATAGGCCATGACAGTAAGGAGGGAAACATCACAACTCATGAAAAAGAAAAACAAGAGGACTTGCACAACACATCCAGAATAAGAAATAGTCCTTATATTCATAAGAGAATTAAAAACAGCTTTGGGAATAATGTCTGAAACAGAACCAATGTCTTGCATGGCTAAATTCATCAGGAAGAAGTACATGGGGGTGTGAAGGTGGTGGTCAGAAATAACAGCAGTGACGATAAGAAGGTTCCCTGTTACTGTCATTATGTACAATAGCAGTAAGAAAGTTATGTACATAATGTGTCGTTCCCAAATTGTTGAAAATTCCAAAAGGAGAAATCCTGATGTGTCATTATTCATTTTTCACCCGAAACATGGCATCCCTAGGATAAAAAGGAGAACTGCTAAATATTTCATATTTAGTACGTTTTAGAGAGATTTTAAGAGTAACTAAGAAATTTTCCATTAACATAACATGAACATTTAAGTCACAAAATTTAGACATCCTCATCAGTCAATTATCTTGTTTTTTTATAAAGTTCAGTGGTCAGGTATCTCAGTGTTATTTAGCAGCAATCAAGCTTTATTGCTACATTTTTGTCTTGAAACCAGACGTAAATTACAATTTTGTTCATTTTTAATAAGAATGTAAGAAACTGTATATTTCTTCATAAGTATCAGTGTTTCATCTTACAATAAATGGAATGGAAAGCCCAAGATTTTAAAATCTCTTTGGGAAAGAAAAGTGTTTAGCCAGGCAGCTGGTTTGAGACATGAATGACCAAGAATCAGTCTTTCTTTCTTTCTTTCTTTCTTTCTTTCTTTCTTTCTTTCTTTCTTTCTTTCTTTCTTTCTTTCTTTCTTTCTTTCTTAATATTATTTTAAATTTTCTTCATAAATGTCTCCGAACAGACTTTAAAAATTAACTTTCAGCAGGTTACAATGTATATATAGTTTTTTTATATACTTTTTAAAAATAATTTTTGAAAAACACATACTTTTTTTTTCATCAATGGCTCTGAATGGAC